AGGAAGGAAGCTTTAACAATAGGAGTTAAAGTTTGTTATTTTTGGGACAGCGGGCTAATTTGTCTCCTTTACTTACTCCTAATGTTGGCCTTGGCCATGTACTAGGCCCATCCTCCTTCTGCATAAGGGACACTTCAGTATCTCTTGCCTTCAGTTCAGGCATGGCCTTCCCGGGCCTTTAGAGGGATTTTTTGATCAAGGGCAAAATAAGTCTGGGAAACCAGAGGTTAACTGAAGTCTTTAGGTACCAAATCCTCCCCTTACCCTAGGGATATTCTTCTGATGGTTGGTTGATTATTTAGTTTGTTTAGCATTTTTCAACTGTACTTGAATCTAAGCTCTGTTTCTTAATGCAGTTACACTGGTATTAATTCCTTTCTTTTTAAACTCTTGTTGAGGGGCAATAAAGTTGGAGAAATACTCGTTTTCCTGGTGCTAAATACATGATAATAATATTCCCTTACATAGATCATGGAACATACTTTTTGGAAGAACCTTAGCACATAGAATATAAGAACTGGAAGGGGTCTTAGAACAGCAAATGTTAGAATTAGAAGGAGTCTTAGGACGTTGAATTGTCGGAGCTGGACAGAACCTTCCAACACACAGGATGAGAGAACTGGAAGAGCCTTAGAACACAAAAAGTCAAAGCTGGCAGAGATGTTCCTAACAGAAGGTTAAAATAGAATAATGGAATACGTTATTCATAATAGAATATTAGTGGTGGAAGGATCTGTAGAACACAGAATGTTAGAACACATAAACAAGGATCTCAGATCTGGGAGGAACCTTAAGGAACACGTAGTCAAACCTTTTTTATTTTACAGAGGAAGCTAAGTTTCAAAGAGAAACTTGTCCAACCTCATGCAACTACCAAAGGTCGGAGCCCAAGGCAAAAACCCAGACTTCCTTACTGCAAGGCTAGGGCTCTTTCTGGAGCCCTTTTCTTACCCATTACCTCATTATCTTCCTCACTGATGAGGTAGGGGCAGTGATTATCATCTCCAACAGACAAACAGAAACTCTGAGGTCCAGAGACGGAAAATAACAATCAAAACCACAAAGCTAGAGTCCAAATCTCCTCAAGCCCAGTTCAGATCTCATCCCAGTATGCCATGCTGTCTCTCAAAGCAACGCCAATTGCTTCTATATTAAAGATTCCTCCAACAAAAACCATTATATTGCCTCTTTCAAAATTTCCTCTTTTTGGAATCAAGTATCCTTTACATATACAGAGAATTCTAGGTAAAATGTAACAAATGAATAAGTATTTGTAATACAATTTCCTTAAATAATCAGTGTATCTCCTACCCTTATCTTCACTGAACTTGAGATTTTCAGTTGTGTTCTAGATTTCCTTCTTGAGATCAAATTGTCTCTCCAGTCACTAACCACTTCAGGGCTTAGCAATCTTTACAATCAAGGAATCTAGGTCTTTAGTCTAATCTAGACACCGAATGCTTCAGCGGGTGAACAGCTTTTGCTTTTTCTGAGTCTGGGAAGAATGTGCCTGTTTATCTTTCAATGATGCCCTTGGAGAACAAAGTCATCAGGAAATGGAGTTAAGCCAAGCTTCTGACTCTGTCATATTCTGTCAATAATATCCCAAAATATGAGAGATCTTAATGATCAAGTCTACCCCCTCATTTCCCCTCCAGTTTCCATGAGGAAACTGAGTCCTGAGAAGGTAAAGTGACTTCCCAAGGTCACACAGCCAATTATTGGTAGGGCGAGGACAGGTACCCAAGTGTCCTGATTTCCACTACAACTACTTCCTTCTGCTGACTCATGCAGTAGTTTCTTTTACCTGGCAGTCCCCATCCCCATTTCTTTTATGTGGACTATGTTCTGTTCTAATAAATCTGTTCTCAAGTCTTTTCTCTAGCTCAAGTTCTCTTTCCACTCTTAACATTCTAATTCTATAAAGGCATTTATTTTTCATGTCAGAAAAATCCTGTTCTCTGTGGCCTACAGCAAACTTATTTTGTGACAAGTGAAGTGTTTGTGTTAAGGTGAAGATTCAAAATGGAGAGAGGAATTAAGAGAAGAGGGATAGGTGAGTGACAGTAATACATACCTGGTGTATCATTTTCAAAAGTAAGGGCTTGCATCTTTGAGGCTTTGTCTAGGGTACACATTTTCAAGGACTTATTAGCTGTGACCCTGAGCAAGTTACTTAACCCCTGTCTGCCTCCGTTTCCACAATTGTAACAGGGGGATAGTAATAGCACCTATCTCCCAAAGTTCTTGTGAGGATCAAAAGAGATGATATTTGTGAAGTGTTTATCAAAGTGCCTGGCACAGCAGGCACCTAAAAAATACATGTTTCCTTTTATCCTTCCTACTAATTTCTTATATTCCACAGCAACTTTTGACATAACTCATTCCACCTACGAGAGAAATTGGAAAATCCAAGCTTATTCCTTAATATTTTATTTCATTAAATTTCATTAGTTTCATTAAATTCAGCAGACATTCATTAAGCTTCTACTATGTATAAGGCCTTTAATACGTGCTGGGTGTCAGAGATGTAAAGATTAAAAAGGACACCCCATATATTTATAGGATTTTAGTTCTGGAAGGGAGTTTGGATTTCATCTAGTCCAACATCTTCACTTTATAAATTGGGAAACTGAGGTTCAAGATTCATCCTGGGCAAAGAGAGAACGTTATTCTAGTTGCACTACAATTCAATACATTTGTTTAAAGGTGTACTGATGCCTTTTGTTTTTATATCCTGGTCATTTTTGGAAATGCTCCCACAGCAACCTAATGAGACACCTTGTAACATTTTTTTTTAAATTAAGCATTACCACCAACAAATCACTTCATTTGACAGCACAGCATTCAATAGACAACAAGCATTTATTTTATATCTACTATATTGAACAAGGTTATGAGCTCAGAGGAAGCTGCCAAATAAAGTTCCATCTTGGGGAAAAGACAGTGGGAAGGGGAGGGTTGACAACTACAAATCTTAGCCCCATTGAAGCTATCTTTTCACCCCACTCAGCATGTACTTGGCTAACATCCAAAGAGAGCTGTAGGGACCATCTGAAGGACTCAGGTGAAGATAGGCAACGTTTAAGATTTAGGGTTTTGGCTGCTGCTGGGGCCTTGGAGGGGGCATAGATGAAGGAAAGAACTGATGGCTGCACTCTCTTCCTGTCAAAGCCTTTAGGAAACCTGAATCCAACTTCTGGGCTTTCTCCTCTTCCCCCTCTCAATTCCATCCCATTCATTTTAGGAGGAGTTTTTTGTTGTTTTTTAGGGTTTTGCCCCTTTTAATATCTCTTGGACATCCTTCAAGAGTTTTGCAATCGGTTTATTTTTCTATTTTTCTGTGGGGAGGGTGGGAACTGGAGTTTGTGGGGAGGGGGCGAGGATGAGAGGGCTTGACGGCTAAACTGAAGTTCTCCCCTTAGATCTCTGGCAAGTTCGGCTTAGCAGGAACTATTAACTACCAATGTGAAACTTTTAGAACTTCCCAAATGCGTGGTAGAAGTAAGAACATTGGCCGGGGAGCTGCGAGATTTGGGTTCAAGTCCTAACTTATTAGCTGCGTGACCTCAAGGAATGTCTGTGTCTCCACAAAAACAAAAACAAAACCAAAAAAGGATTAGCTGATTTTAAGGTCCCTTCAAGCTTTTAGCACACGTTCTGTGTTGTAACATTTTTTCTAGATTACCTTAAAGTTTTAACATTCTCTAAGTTTTCAGTGAGACAGAGAGAGGAGGAAAAGGGTGTGTGTGTGTGTGTGTGTGTGTGTGTGTGTGTGTGAGAGAGAGAGAGAGAGAGAGAGAGAGAGAGAGAGAGAGAGAGAGGAATAAATATTCAACACTTTTCTTCGTCTCATTTCTATGCCTTTCTACCTCCAAGTGTTCTTTCCCCGTCTCCTAGACATACGATGGTCCCCTGGTGCCAAAGGAAACAGTAACTGTCCTTAAGACTCCCTTAAGGATTTGTTCACCGCCCCCCGCCTTCGGACGCTGCCTGGATAGGGCGAGGCTGCACTCTGCGCCCCCCACCCCCGCCCCTCGCCCCCTGCTCCGTACGCTGTGACACCCTCCTTGTTACTGAAAACGGGGTCCTGCGCCCTTCCGATTTGGAGGAGATCCGGGCTCGGGGTGGGGGCGGGGGATTGATGCGGGGTAACCGGTAAAGAAGCCGCCTTGGGGAAGGGAAGGGAAGGAAAGAGAAGGGAAGGGAAGGGAAGGAAAGAGAAGGGAAGGGAAGGGAAGGAAGGAGAAGGGAAGGGAAGGGAGTGGAAGGGAAAGGAGGACGAGCCGGTCGCTAGGACCCACCTGCCGGAACAGAACTTCAGCCATGAGGCTGGTGCGGGAGCAGAGTCGGTGGACTAGGTCCTTGGAGGGGCAGCGGCTGCTGCCGCCTCCCCCTCCGTCTTCTCCTTCTTCTCCTCCTCCTCCTCCGCTCGGCGCCGGCCACGGCTTCCTCTCCTGCCTATGCATTACTCCGGCTATCTCCTCCTCCGTTACAAATAGGGCTGGCTGGGCGTGTGTGTATGTGTGTGTGTGTGTTTTTCTCTTCTTCCTCTGCACATGCCGGGCAGGGCGGCTGGGACGGCTGCCCCCAGGACCCAGAACTCTCCTCTCTCCGCCCCGTTAATGTTTCTCGCCGCTTTTGCCAGCCCCCACCCTAGGCAGACAGCTGCAAGCTACACCACCGCCCCCCCTTTAAAAAAATTTTTTTCACTCAGGCGGAAAAAACCCTGAAGCTAGCAAAAAAAAAAAATCTCATCAGGGCAACCCTGCCCTGCCTAAACTCTCTGCCACAGCAGATGTGGAGAGACAACTGGGCAATCCAGGGGTTAGAGGAGGGGTTAGTACCAGCCTTGATGGGGAGGGGGCCGTGAGATAATTGTGAAACTTGGCTCTGGTCCTGCCAACTGCCTGATTCAGAAATAAACGGTGTTTGCAGCACATTACCACAGGCAAAGCCTATCTATTTCACCACTTGTTTCCCCCGGAAGGAGGAAATCAACCAAATGCTAGTTACATTGTCTTCTCTGTAATGGACTGATGGTGGTTTCCACAGCATGCCTTGGGGTTAGGCTGAGTTTGTCCTTAATTTTAGACCTGGGAGGGATTTTAGGCCACGGTATGCCTGATGGAAAGCACCTTAAAACTCAAACTGTTAAAATATGAAACAGAATGCCAGCATAAAGAAGATATCTAGTTAAGCCTCCTTACTTTATAGATCGGGAAACTGAGCCTCAGCGAGATTGTTTCTTCTGCTGTAAAATCATCTGTTTGGATTTGAGATCAACATGAGGTGAGTCAGCCCACCTAGGTTAAAATCTTTTTTCTGCTTTTTCCTAAATTGTGTGACTATATCACTTCATCTTTCTGTGTCTCAGTTTCTTCCTCAATAAAAATTAAGAGTTGACTAAGGTCTCTTTAGGTTAAAATCTATGATCCTGTGAACTTAAACATCTTTTCCAATTCTAGAATTTGGTGTTCTAATATTGTGTTTAAAGGTTCCTTCTAGTTCTAGTATTCTGTTATGTAGTCTAAATTCCTAATTAATAATAATAGCTAGTATTTCATATATGCCAGGTTCTTTACAAATATGGTCTCATTTGATCCTCATGACAACCCATTGAGGTAAGTGCTATTATTATCCCCATTTTACAGTAGAGGAAACTGAGGCAAACAGAGGTTAAATGACTTGCCCAAAGTTACATAGTAGTAAGTATCTGAGGCCATATTTGAGCTCAGGTCTTCCTGATAGCAGGTGCAGTGCTCTATCCACTGTGACACTTAGCTGCCTTAATCCTAATATCTATGTCCTAAGGTCTCTTCGAGCTTTTTGTTCCAACATTTTATCTTTGTAGATCCAGCTCAGACATTCTCTAAACACCAGGGAGAGCAACATAAATGAAGGCAGAGACCAACAAGTTGTATTTAGGGGACCACAAAGAGATAGACTAATTGGTCAAAAAGAATTTATAACGCATGTACTATGTGCCAAGCACTGTGCTAAACTCTAGGGATATAAATGCAAAAGTGAGAGTACCTTCTGTCCAAGAGCTTATATGCTACTATAGCGATACACTATATGTAGGAATAAATACAAAGTGGTTCTTTTGAAGGTGTCCCCCAAAACAATTCTAGTATGTTGAGAAGTCAAAAGAAATGGAATGTACTTTTGGGGAAAACAAGTAATGGATGACCCTCTCCCTTCTACCTCTTCCTATAAATGCCAGAGAGTTTCAATTTCAATGGGATAGGAAAAGGGAAATTTAAAACTTTGGAAGAGGGAGGTCACATGATGAAAAGTGTTTGATGATTTTGGGATCCTAGAATTCAGTGTTAGAGGAGACCTTAAGGATCATGTAGTCTAACTGCCTTATTTGTTTAACCAGATGAGGAAACTGAGACTCAGATAAGTGAGCTCCAAGGTCACACAGGAAGAAAGAAATAGAGGAAGTATTTGAATCTGGGTCTTCTGATCCAAATTAGTGTTCATTCTGCTACCAGCTTTTCCCCTCACAGAAAACTGAAAAAAAATTACTTTCTTATTCTTGAATCATATAGGAAAATTTCTTCCCTTCTTTCCTTAGCAATATATAAGGAAAGGAAAATTCATAGGCAGTGAAGAATCCAGACTGACCTGACTCCCCAAGAGTCCCTCAGTTTATCTGCCCTTTACTGAACCCAGGACAAGACTGCTAAAACCATCATTTTTAAGGAAGGAAAATCTCCCTATCTTTTTATTTGGTCAAACACTTGGAAGTCCTTTGTTTTTAATGATATTAAATTCTGCTTCTGGTATTTACATATGGTAGATTTAAAAGGCAGGAACAGAGGGGATTGGCCAGTTTAAAAAAATGTATTTGGGATATTTTGTTTTTTTCAACTTCAGTGTCTTAAGGCCAAGAATTCAGTAGCCTGAAATAAAGTTTTATTGTACCTAAGCAAGTAATATTAATAAAATGACCCTCCTTGCATTCCACCAAGTTTTAAAAGTCTTCTCTTTCCAATTTTAAAAAATGTCAAAATAATAGTTCAATGGGGCATCTCCATGGCTATAACCCCATCCTTGTAATATATGCTTGTCAGGGTCACTCTGGTGAAAAGAAATGATCTGACATGTTGAGCTACCAAACTGCCTTATAAGGGGGTCATATAATTATAGAATGGTGGAGTTGAAAAAATTGTAGAACATTAAATTTTAGAACATAAAATTAACCAATGATATTTGTATCAACACTTTCAGTTATAGAAGATCTAGAAACTAAGGGGGTTGGTTACCCATCAACTGGAAAATAAGCTCAAGAAACTATGTTATGAATTTAGTGGAATATTTTGCCATAAGAAATGATGGATGTAATAGATTCAGAGAAATATGGAAAGATTTGTGTGAACTGACGCAGAGTGAAGTAAACAGAAACAGGAGAACAATGACACCATGAACACAACAATAAAGTGATGGAAACAACTACAAAAGCCCTGAAAATTCTGACCAAACCAAGAACTAATGAAGACTTCAAAAGACTAATGATCAACTACACACACACACACACACACACACACACACACTCTTGAAAGAGAGGTGATAGACTAGAAGAACAGAATCAGAAAAGTATTTTCAGGCATGGTCAATGTGTTGACTTGTTTTACTCAACTATATATATATTTATAACAAGGGAGAGTTGCTCCTTGGGGAAGGGAAAGAATGTTAATAGATGGCGATAGACATGGGGGCAAAGTATCAATAAAGCATTTTTTTAAAATTGAGAGAAGAAAAATATGGAGAAGGTGACACAAAGCAATTTTATTACTACCATGTTAGATTTCATATGTATGTATGTATATATGTGTGTGAGTATATCTATAATTATCTATCATCTATCTATATTAAACTATGTAACAGAGCTGCTAGGTGGCTCAGTGGATGAGAACTTATAGAATGTTCATAACATATAGAATGTAAGAACCAGAGGAAATTTCAGAAGTCTAGTCCATTCCTTTCATGGTGGGTGAGTGGTACGGCAGTAGTCCAAGCTCCTACTCCCACAGATGAGGCCAGTTTTTTGTGTTTTTTTTTCTTAGAAGGCATTAGAATTGGTCTTGAGCCCTAATTGGCCCAAGACACTAAGCCCCTAATCCCTTCCTGCTGGCCTAAGTAAAAAGTCAACAAGCATACAGTTAGGAGCTCCTCAAGTAGATCAACACAGCAGGGAAGGCAGGGAAGTTGTGCCCATCTGAATCACTACTGCTTGCTTGCTGAATATCCTTTCTCTACTATTGCTAAGTAAAACACTTTTTGTTATTTGTCATGGTCTTCAAGTATCTTATTTCATCTCAGTTTCTAACATGGAGCACCAGATATCTGGCTAGCAACCCCCAGGATGGAGGGGGAAAGGAAGTGAGAAGGGAGTGGAAGAATTCATCATCATAGACCAAGTGGTTAGAGAGGGAGGAATGACTAAGGGAACAAACAGGCAGTTCTGGAAAGGACTGATTCATTGATATAATATCTTCATATGAATATGCAGGTATGTGTGGGCATGTGAGGGTGTGTGTGTGTGCCCTCTCCTCTCTTTCCTCCTTCCATGTATCTCTGTGTTTATATTTGTGTGTGCTTCAACTTGTGGGGGTATCTCTCAGGAAGAGGCTCTGTGATCTATGATGCATAATTTCACAGACTTTTTGAGTTAGAATTTATCTCAGAAGTCATTTAGTTTCAACCTGTACTTAAATGAGAATCCTCTCTACACCATAACCAACAAGGGGTCATCCACCCTTTGCCTGAAGAACTCCAGTGAGGAGGAGCCCATTACTTTTTAAAAATAATATTTTATTGTTCCCCTAATTACATGTAAAAAACAATTTTTAGTATTTGCTGTGGGTTTTTTTTTAAAGTTTTGAGTTCCAAAATCTATCCCTTTCTCTCTTTTCTCCTCCCTCCCTGAGACAGTAAGAAACCTGATATAGGTTAAACATGTGCAATCATGTAAAACGTTTTCATGTTAGTCATCTTGTGCAAGAATACTCAAAGAAAAAGAAAGAAAATGAAAAATAGTATGCTTTGGTCTGTATTCAGATGACATCAGTTCTTTCTCTGGCGGTGGGTAACATTTTTCATCATGAGTCCTTTGGTTTTGTCTTGGATCATTGTGTGCTGAAATTAGCTAAACCATTCACAGTTGTTCATTTTACAGTATTGCTGTTACTATATACAATGTTCTCTTGGTTCTGCTCACTTCACTTTGTATTGATTCATGTAAGTCTACCTAGGTTTTTCTGAAATCTGCCTGCTCATCATTTCTTATAGCACAATAGCATTCCGTTACAATCATATTCCACAACTTGTTCAGCCATTCCTCAATTAGTGGGCATGTCCCCAATTTCCAATTCTTAGCCACCAGTAAAAGGGCTCCTATAAATATTTTTGTACAAATAGGTTCTTTTCCTTTAAAAAAAATCGCTTTGGGATACAGACCTAGTAGTGGTATTGTTGGATCAAAGGATATGTACAGGTTTATTGCCCTTTGGAATCCACTACTTCTTAATGCAGTCCTGTTCTATGTTTGGATAATTCTAATTGTTAGGAAGTGTTTCTTCACATCAAATCTAAATGTGTTTCTATATAACCCATTGCTCCTAGGTCTTTCCTTTGGGGCCAACAGAACAGATCTAATCTCTCTTCCATGTGACAGTCCTTCAGCTGCCTGAAGAAAGCTAATACATCTCCCTTAAATCTCCTCCATGTTAAACATTCTTAGTTTCTTTGACTATTCTTCATTTGGAATGAAAGGGGAGAAGGGAAGGAGGGGGAAAGAGAAAGAAATAAACATTTACATAGAGCCTGCTATGTGGCAAGCACTGTGCTAAGCAATTTTACTAATACTACTTCCTTTGATTATCACAATAACTGTATGAGGTAGGTGCTATTATTCTTCCCATTTTTTACAGTTGAGGAAACTGAGGCAAATGAGGTTAAATGACTCACCTAGGGTCATAGAGCTAATAAGTGTTTGGGGCTGGATTTGAACTTAGGTCTTCCTGACGCCAGACCTAGCACTCTATCTACTGTACCTCTCAAGTTCCTTCACTATTTTGGTTGTACTTCTGTGGACAATTTCTCAGTTATCAATGTCTTCTCTAAAATGTGATACCCAGAACTGAACAAAAAACTTAAGATGTGGTCTGACCAGGGCAAAGATACTATTGTACCATCACCTCCTTATTCCTGAACACTAGACCTCTCAATACAGCCTGATATTGCATTAGCTTTCATGGCTGCTGTATCCCACAGTAGATCCA